TACAGATGGTCACGAGACACCATATGAATGCTAGAAATTGAACCTTGGTCCTCTGCCAGAGCAACAAGTGCTCTAAACCTCTGAGCCATCTCTCCACCTCCTTTATTCTTATTCTTTGAGGAAAGGTCTCTAAACAAAACCCAGCATCCACTGCCTACCTGGCACTTATGTAGATCCTGAGGATCTGAACTCCAGGCCTTGTTCTCAAGTCAAGCACTTTCCCCACCGAGCCATCTCCCTCACCCAAACCTTTCACTTTTAGGGCAAGATTTAGGACAAGTGGCTTAAGTAGTCCCTACAAATAACTGAAAATAAGATTTCCTTACATTTACTTATAGTGTATATGTGTGTGGTTGGGATGCTGATACACATTTGAGCACAATCATGGGGATCCCTACTTTTGAGGAAATTAAGACTTTTGAAATTCTTCCTTGTGTGACTTCACATCACTTGATCATTCTTAACCTCAGAAGAGGTAGAAAACTACCTTCCAAATCTGTGTGTTATCAGTCAGCCGCTCATCCATGAACTGGTCTCTGGATAGTTTAGATCCACTAAAAGGTCAAGATCCTGAGATCTAGTGATGCTGGTGTTCACATCATCAAGCCACCATGAGGTTTTCTAACAGGGTAAATATTTATTCATTCATAAACGAGGAGTGTTTATGAAGGGCCTGTTACATACTAGATGATGGATATTCAGAAGCAGCATAAAGGAGGAATTAATTTTGGCTCACAGTTTCAGGGGACACAGCTCATTGAAGCAGGGAAGGCATGACATTGTGTCTCACTGTTTGACTGCAGGAGCTTGTGGACTGTTCACATCATGGCAAGCCAGGGAGCAGAGACAACAGGACAGGGAGTGACAGGGCCGGGCTATAAGTCTCAAAGGTCCTCCAGGACCCATGTCTGCTAGCCAACCTCTCCAATCTGCCAAGGTCTTGGTACTGGGTCTTTAGACATGTGGGCATATAGAGACATTTCACATCCAAACCATAATGTGATGCTAAGACAGGTTCTGGCTGGCTCTGGAGTGGTTATAGTGGGAGCCAACTCATTTCACTAAGTGCCTGACATGTTTTCAGTTTTTTCAAACACTAACCAAGTTCACCTCTTGAACAAACTAGTGTTGTGTTACACTGCCTGTAAATGAACTAAAGTTTTCAACCAAAAGACAAACGTTGTCAGAGTGCACAAAAAGCAATGTATGTGTTGACAGAAGACAATTTTTAAAAAATATTTATTTATTATGTATACAGTGTTCTGTCTGCAAGTATGCCTGCAAACCAGAAGGGGGTAATAGATCTCATTAAGGAAGATTGTGAGCCACCATGTGGTTGCTGGGAATTGAACTCAGGACCTCTAGAAGAACAGCCAGTGGTCTTAACCACTGAGCCATCTCTCCAGCCCCAGAAGACAATTTTTAAAAGGCCCTACATGGCTGGAAAAATCTAACATATTCACATTACCAGAAAGCTAGTGTAGCTTCACTAATGTGAGATAAGGTAGAATTTAAGGAAAGGTTTCTTGCTCAATAAGAAGGGGGGTTTCATAATAACAAGATTAGTCTGCTAGGAAGATAGAATAGTTCCAAGTTTGTATGCACACTATGTAATAGCTCGAGAACTGATAACGCGAAACAGATGATAGGACAAAGGCCAAAGCAATCGACAGTCCAAGCAGAAGCTCTGACCCTAGCCAATCTGCAACAAGGCAACCATAGAAACCAAGTGTAAGTATTTAGAGCATTTACAGCAAATCAACATGCGGTAATTTCTTGAAGATTTTAGTGAGAGTAAAAGTTCACAACAGAGTGGAGATAAGCTGTTTTGTCACTTTTTTTTTTTTTTTAAAGAATCACCTCTTTAACACTTCACTCTCAGTAGTTGGTAGGACAGATATGTAGGACAATTTTCAAGTTTTCCCCACTTTCAACTGAGAACTCTTCTTAATTTAAAGTTCTAAAAGTGTGAAGTTGAAGGCTGAGAAGGTTAGGAAAAGTGAATTAGGTTAAATGAAAAAAAAGTCAAATGCAGAGCATTAGCTTAAAGAAGAGTCAGGCTAAAGGAAGGACTGGACGGATCTCAGGTCTCTGTCTCCTCATGCAGCACCCACTTCAGTCCCAGAAGGGACTTAAGGCAAGAGCTTGCTTTTCTACACAAACTGAGCCAGAGAAGCTTTGAGGTTTGAAGAAACCAGGCATTTGTGGAAGTTAAGAGGGAGATAATGAATTACATCAGGGGCCTAGGGGAAGGCTGTCTAACAAATGGAATGTTCTAGCTGCCCCCCCCCCCAACCCCCCCCTCCCGCCCCGCCTCCTTACTCCCAGAATGCCAAGTCATGGGGCATCCTCCCAGGTAGAAGAAAGGATGGTTCTGATCCTCCAGCGGTGGTTCTCACACATCACTTTTCAGAGCGCAAAGACTTCCAAACTTCTGTAGTTTCTCATAACATAAAAAACTATAGCCTCAAATCACATGATATAAATGTATTGTGGTAGCCACCAAGATGATCCCTAAGACCCCAGCTCTGTGCTGCTTTCTCCACAGTACACCAGCATTTGTTGATGTGACCCAAGACACACAGTAGAAGTGACGGCAGATAAGTTCCAACTAGGTTTAAAAAGATTGCGGCCTCCTTGACTTCTCCTCTCTTGTCCGGTGGAAGCAAGCTGCCTGTTGACAGTAGAATGGCTGACTTTTCCAGCTTATTTGGCATAGGAGGGTTCCCAGGATGTGGGGCTTTTGATGCTAAAACCAAGAAACAACCAGGCATCCTGGGACAAATGTGCACTTCAGCTGTGAGTAGTCCTATAAAAAGAGCCATTACTGAGGATCAAAGGCTGCCAAGGTCTGCCAACAATCATGTGAGTGAACTTGGAGGTGGATCCTGCCCAGTCAATCCTTTAGATGATCACAGTCCTCACCATCTTCATACATTGTGGTTAGAGACTCGGAGTTGGAATCACCCAGCTACTGGAAGCTATTACCGAATCCCCAACACTTATATAAACGGCATGCGATAAAACCTGTTGTTTTAAGTTGCTAAGTTTGAGAGACATTGCTAAGCAGCAAAAGACAACCATACACAAATAGAAAGGGAACAAAAATATTCATATCAGAGATGTGACATAGCATTTTATGAAATAAGTTAGAACTCTATAATAAAAGATACATTTAGTTACTATGACAATGATCCTAGTTTATTAATGCCGCCTGTATTCATGTGCTCTTCCACCCTGACTCTGGACTTGGTTATGTGACTGGCTCTGATAAATCAATGCAAGAGCAGCAAACATGGCTGAGAGGCTTAAAAACTACGTGCAAGGACAGATTTGCCCTCTTGCTATCTTGGGACCTTGACACCAGGTAAGCAGGGTCAGGCTTGCCAGCTGGCCAGCTGAAAGATAATAATACATCAGGAAGAAGAGACCAAGGCATTTAGAGTAACAGCCAACCTTTATCTAACATGCTGTGAACTGTGGTGTATTAGTCAACCTAGCCAAAATCAGCCAGACCTTGATTCACTCTATGACCTCACTCAGCTCAAATTGCCAACTCAAAGAATACTAAGCTTAAGAAATGGCTATTGTCAGCCGGGCGTTGGTGGCGCACGCCTTTAATCCCAGCACTTGGGAGGCAGAGTCAGGCGGATCTCTGTGAGTTCGAGGCCAGCCTGGGCTACCAAGTGAG